GAGGGGCTACCAATTCCTAAAGCACCAGAATCCTTCGTGGTTGAGTCAAGTGAGGAAGAACCTGAAGCGTGTAGTCACGTGCAGTTGTAAGAGATAGCCCTTTCCTCGAATACAAGAGAAAAGCCAAGTGAAGCAAAACCGACACAAACTGAAGACAAAACTAGTGAGAATCCTAAGTATTAAAATGATTCAACTTAGCTTATGGCTATAATTTTTCTTGGTAATCCTATGCAATATATATTATGCCATTTAGGCTTTGTTATGTAGTCAATATCACTTGCTTTATATTTGGGGAAAGACATCTATCTATATAATTATTGTGCATTATGTAGTCATTACGCCTATAGTAGAAAACTTTCCGTTTTACAGAAAAACTAGAGCCAATTGACAAATTTCATTGTTATATTTCAACTCAGAATGTGAAATTCATTAAGAAATTGATCCTTTTGTTTCCAAAACTGGCAAAAAATAAAAATTTGTTGAACAGTGTTATCAGTATAAAAGACACCTTTCCACAACCTCAAACAGTCACACTCCAAACTCCACAATGGTGAAGCCAAAGAGCTGTTGAAGGACACCAGAAAAACAAAATTGTAGACCTGCACCAGGCTGGGAAGACTGAATCTGCAATAGGCAAGCAGCTTGGTGTGAACAAATCAACTGTGGGAGCAGTAATTAGAAAGTGGAAGACATACAAGACCACTGATAATCTCCCTGGATCTGGGGCTCCACGCAAGATCTCACCCCGTGGGGTCAAAATGATCACAAGAACGGTGAACAAAAATCCCAGGACCACACAGGGGGACCTAGTGAATGACCTGCAGAGAGCTGGGACCAACATAACAAAGGCTACCATCAGTAACACACTACGCCGCCAGGGACTCAGATCCTACAGTGCCAGACGTGTCCCCCTGCTTAAGCCAGTACATGTCCGGGCCCGTCTGAAGTTTGCTAGAGAGCATTTGGATGATCCAGAAGAGGATTGGGAGAATGTCATATGGTCAGATGAAACTAAAATAGAACTGTTTGGTAGAAACACAACTCTTCCTGTTTGGAGGAGAGTGAATGCTGAGTTGCATCCAAAGAACACCATACCTACTGTAAAGCATGGGGTTGGCATCATCATGCTTTGGGGCTGTTTCTCCGCAAAGGGACTGATCCATGTACAGGACAGAATGAATGGGGCCATGTGTCGTGAGATTTTGAGTGCAAACTCCTTCCATCAGCAAGGGCACTGAAGATGAAACGTGGCTGGGTCTTCCAACATGACAATGATCCCAAACATACCGCCCTGGCAACGAAGGAGTGGCTTCATAAGAAGCATTTCAAGGTCCTGGAGTGGCCTAGCCAGTCTCCAGATCTCAACCCCATAGAAAACCTTTGGAGGGAGTTGAAAGTCTGTGTTGCCCAGCCACAGCCCCAAAACATCACTGCTCTAGAGGAGATCTGCATGGAGGAATGGGCCAACATACCAGCAACAGTGTGTGCCAACCTTGTGAAGACTTCCAGGAAACGTTTGACCTCTGTCATTGCCAACAAAGGATATATAACAAAGTATTGAGATGAACTTTTGATATTCACCAAATACTTATTTTCCACCATAATTTTCAAATAAATTCTTTCCAAATCAGCCAATGTGATTGTCTGTTTTTTTTTTTCTCATTTTGTCTCTCATAGTTGAGGTCTACCTATGATGCCAATTACAGGCCTCTCTCATCTTTTTAAGTGGGAGAACTTGCACAATTGGTGGCTGACTAAATACTTTTTTGCCCCACTGTACCTGTTTGTGGTGACAGTGCAAGTTGCAGACGTTTTTGCTAAAACCATAGTTGTTATTGCTAAGATTGTGAGTTTCCTCCTTCTTGGTAAAAAGGAAGTGGTGGCATTTAAGGGGTTAATTGCTTAATTAACTTAACCCAGTGACAATTGCTCTCAGGATGCTGGCACCTAGATTGTGGTACAGCAGCTGTAAAATATTTGTGCACTGTGCAGTTGAGAGTGGAATTGTTAAGCAAGTGACAGCACAGTGTGAAATTGGCCAGTCCTTTGTCACAAGTTTTGAAAAGGACATGGGTTGGGCACCTCGTTTGTCACACTGGTCACATGTTAAAAATTAAAAAAAAACAGCCTTTGGGACACAGTAAAAATAAACAATATTAATGAGCTGTTTTAAATCTTCAAACAAAAATATATTTGAAATTAAATCTTTAATATTTTTTGGCAATAACATGGTGTGGGTGGATTTCTGCCAGACACAGGCTGTGTAGGTTCGTAAGGTATGTGCACATTATATATATATATATATATATATATATATTTATATTATATACATACATACACTGCTCCAAAAAATAAAAAATTAAAGGAACACTTTTGAATCAGAGTATAGCATCAAGTCACGTAAACTCCTGGGATATTGATCTGGTCAGTTAAGTAGCAGAGGGGGTTGTTAATCAGTTTCAGCTGCTTTGGTGTTACTAAAATTAACAACAGGTGCCCTAGATGGGCAACAATGAGACAACCCCTAAAACAGGAATGGTTTTATGGGTGGAGGCCACTGACATTTTTTTCCCTACTCATCTTTTCTGACTGTTTTTCACTAGTTTTGCATGTGGCTAGGGTCAGTGTCACTACTGGTAGCATGAGGCGATACCTGGACCCTACAGAGGTTGCACAGGCAGTCTAACTCCTCCAGGATGGCACATCATTACTTACCATTGCCAGGTTTGCTGTGTCTCCCAGCAGTCTCAAGAGCACTGAGGAGATTCCAGGAGACAGGCAGTTACTCTAGGAGAGCTGGACAGAGCCGTAGAAGGTACTTAACCCATCAACAGGACCGTTATCTGCTCCTTTGTGCAAGGAGGAACAGGATGAGCACTGCCAGAGCCCAACAAAATTACCTCCAGCAGGCCACTGGTGTGAATGTCTCTGACCAAACAATCAGAAACAGACTTCATGAGGGGTGCCTGAGGGCCCGACATCCTCTAGTGGGCCCTGTGCTCACTGCCCAGCACCATAGAGCTCGATTGACATTTGCCATTGAACACAAGAATGGGCAGGTCCACCGCTGGCGCCCTGGGCTTTTCACAGATGAGAGCAGGTTCACCCTGAGCACATGTGACAGACATGAAAAGGGTCTGGAGAATCCGTGGATAATGTTATGCTGCCTGTAACATCCTTCAGCATGACCGTTTTGGTGGTGGGTCAGTGATGGTCTGGGGAGGCTGTAACGGAACCGGACCCCGACTGCACTAGGGTATTTCCGTTAGACTCCCGTTTCCCTGTCCAAACACAGATCCACAGACACCTCTCGAAATAAAATCAGGAAATAAACTGCTTTATTTTAACACAGTCACAAGATATAAACATTCAAATGTACAAGCCCCCTCCCTGCATATGGACACAGGGCGGGGCAAACCAAATCCAGCAATCAGAGTCACATCAGCAGACACCCCCCACCATCTATTGTAAGAGAATTTTTGTAACTTTAGAATTCATTAGTATTTATTATTCATTAATACTAGTATTTAGTATTCATTAATTATATGGGACTAGCATGCAAAAAAAAAAAAAAAAAAACAGACAATGATTCATCCGATATTCTCATCAAGCGTACGGGGCTTAAGAAACTGATAAAAAAAGGCAAAGTCATCTGAAACAGTTAGGGCCAGTTCACACGGAATGGTTTAGTGTGAAGGCAGTGCTCCAGCTCTGGAGAGCCAGTGGTAGGGGGCAGTGTGGTGGGCGAGTCAATGCATTATACAGCTCCATTTTTTTTTTTTCACACATTTTTTTTTAAGTGCACAAAAACGACACTTCATTCCTGTCACTGTACAATGCGCTGTCATAAAATTCTGCATGTCTGCATTTTATCTTAGCTCACTGCAGTGCTGCTCCAGGCTGCGTTTCAGTGTGAATAGGGCACACGGGAATCACTTGTGTTCTAGCAGTTAGTGGCGTTCTTCCAGTGAGGAAAACCGCTGGTCACTGCACTTGTGTGAATTGGGCTTTACAGTTCAAAACAAAAAAATTATTCAGAGATATTATGTTTTTATGTTAATTAAACAATATGTTCACCTTTTGGACCCATACGATCAGGGGAAGGGGGGGGGGGGGGGTGCGCAGCTGCAGCTATGGGAACATGTTACATGTTCCACCCTAAAAATATGTTCCCAAAGGTGAACTTATCCTTTAAAGTGGAACTAAATGCTAAACTTAATTTTTTCATTTTGGATAGAGTAAAGCTGACCATACATTATACGATTTTCTTGTTCAATTTCCTTTAGATTTACCTTCAACTCTGTAGTGCAAGGGTCTGTCTGACTGCATAAAAATTGAAAGTGTTTAGGTTTGACCTCATATTATATGGTTTTGGTAAATCTAAAGGAAAGTTGTACAAGGAAATTGTATAATGTATGGTCAGCCTTAGGGGGAGTTATAACCCCTGTAAGATTTTTTTTTTTTGTGTGTCCCATTTCTCTTCGTTTTTTTTCCCATAACCAAATCGCTCTAAAAGAAGGAAAACTTGTGGTATTCACTGCAGGACCAGAACTACCAGCAGTGTCTCTATTGAAAGATTTCCCTTTTATTGTGTTCTGATATAAACCCCAAATTTGGGATATTCCTTTACTTTCACTTTCGATGATCATGGTAAACAGGAGAAATGGAGAGGGTGAATCTCCCTAATGGGGCACAGACAGAAATAAAAACCTGACAGGGGTACTAATCCCTCTCCACTTTATCCAAAACAAAAAAATTATTATAAAGGTTTGCTTCTATTTATATCAATTGTGCGCTATGTTACAATACATGAATCATATTTACAAATAAGGAAGTGTGTCTCACAAAAAAACAAATCGAACCATACATTCCGGCATGGCCAGGCATGTTATGTCTCTGCTGTTCTGTGAATTCACATGACTTTCTTAAAGGCTCCTCCTCAGGGCTCAGCCCATGTCATTACTTTCAGTTTCAGGACAGACAAGCAAGAAGCAGCAACCATGGTCACCCGGCGTCTAGTCTTTATTTTGGTAAGTTTAAAATGTAACGATAATGATATTCTCTGTGATATACTCCGATCGTCTTTCTGCATAGCGGACCGTTACAATAGGAGAAATATCTAGTTGTGGTTTTAAAAAGACAAGTGACAGTTAGGAGTAAACAAACTAGAAAGGGCATTGTAACAGTTGGGGAAATGTTTCCAGAATAGCAATGTGCTCTGAAATAAACTTTCATTACAGACATACGGAGTGTACCTGACTTCATGACAACAGAGATTTTCATGTCATTAGTGTCCTGATTATAAGATGTGCATTATCATGCTTACTGTTTTTGTAGTTTGATTGTGAAAATATTCTGTAACAGATGTGCCTGTCCCAAGCTGTCAACACTTATCAAATCCCTACCATTTAACCCTATCTGTCCTTAAACTTAATTTATCAACCTATCTTTTAAAGTCGACCCCTTAACACAGAAAAGTCATGTTGAGCACTAAACCTAAGCCTAATCTTTGAAGTCGAAACTTTTTTGTTTTGTTTTGAATAGAGAAGGAAATGATTAAGACTAGTGATGAACAAAGGTACAGGCAAAACCTCATTCATCTGAAACCCATCGGAAACTGTCACCCCATAGCCATGCTTAACAAAGGGGTGGGGGTGCTGGTGATATCATTAACCTAAGGTCTCATGTACACAAACAGCTGCTAAACTCGAGTTTAGGAGCTTTTGGCATTTTTTGCCAAAGCTCATAAAGTCAACTCCATAAAAGCCTATGTGTCCATGTACACACAGACTTTTAGCAGAGTTTAGTAGCTGCCACGGTTAGGTGAGGTTAAGGCCCCATGTACACGGGACACTTCTGAACGATGGAAACTGACTGCTGGAAAACGTAGGTTAAAAAATGTTTGTTTAGCTGCGTTTATGAGGGTTTGCATACCGCATTTATGAGGGTTTGCGTTTAGAAGCGTTTTTTAAAGATAACCTCAGGAGACCCTCCAAAATGCCCAGAATGCACTGAAAAACAGTAAAAAATTAACTATTTCAGACATTTAGAGAGAAATAGAGAGAGCAGAACCAGAGAGAGCAGTATTTGTTGAGATTAGCTGTCTTTTTTTTGTGTGGTGTTTGGATGTGTTCCAGCCCATTTCTGTGCAGAAATTATTGCAGCAGTGTCTAACATATTTTCTTTCATGCAAAACCTCAAAGCAGAGTGTACCAGGTCCATTTGAGTACCAGGAAAACACTTTGCATGCATTTTTCATGATGAAAAAATTCTCTAGACAGCATCTGGAAATGGAAGAGTTAAAAAAAAAATTTGCAAAAGCTTTTAAACATTGTTAGCCACATTTAGCCGCTTTTACATGCATTTGGCGTTTGAAACACTGATAAAATCTACTCCTGAACGAGGAAAAGTTTTCTGCGTTCAAAAAAACGGCTGTAAACTCAACTGCCTATAAATGACGATGTGTACAAGGACACATAGGAAAACATTAGGGTGAGTTTAGGGGCTGCTGAAAAAAACGCTGAACAGCTCCTAAACGTTTATCAGCTGCAGAAGAAAGACTTCTCGGTGTCAGTCTGCTCCCACAGGCCCAGAAATAAACAACACACTCTGTAAAGCTAAATGTGGAGCTATGCTATGAACAGTTCTAAACAGAGTTCCCCTTTAACACATGCACAGAGATAAGCACCGAGTCCTGAGCTTGAGGAGTGTCAAAGAGAGTCTTGGTAGAAAGAATGTCCTGGGTCCAGCTAGCTTGATAAGGGCCCGAAAGGATTGCTGTGCAATGGAGACCAGCAGTAGTAGATATTTAGGTACAGTAGATGATTCCAGGTAAATATCACAAACTTGTTTTGCACTGTACCGTTACTGTATTTGTACTGTACTGTCTATATTGTAAAGCACTGAGCAAACTGTTGGCGCTATATAAATCCTGTATAATAATAATAATAACTTGTAAGCAGGGTGTGAGGTATAAAAGGTGTCTGCATGCAGTGTTACTTAACCTCCTTAGCGGTTTTCCCGAGTGTAGCTTGGGGTAAAATTTGAGTACCAAGAGCGGTAACCCCGAGCTACACTCGGGCTTACCATGCGGCGTTGCTCAGGGGGTCCCTGCAGCACTTACCTTGTCCTTCGCTCCCGCGATGTGTCCCCTGCAGTGTCCCCGGCCATCTCCTCTGGCCGATGCCGGCATCCGGCTTCCGTGTTCCGGTCCCTGTGACGTCGGGACGTACGGGCGCCGAAACTGGCGGCAAATTTGAAATTTTTTTTAAAAATGTCATTTTTGCTGTCATTGCTGTTTCAATGCATTTCACATATATTTTGTCCCTACTGCTTTGTCCTGTGCCCTGCCTGCATTTTGACTGTTCTTTCTGCCTGGAAACCCAGAAAAGTCCATGGCGTCCAAAAAGCGTCCCTTTACGTCAAAAGCGGTTTTAGACCAGCTAGAGAACAGCGATAATAAATCAGAACCACTTGCAGAATTGAGTGATAATGATTCGTGGGGAAATTCGTCATCAGACACTGAAAACGATTTTGCGACTTTGCTCAGCAATGTGCGAATTTGCCTCTGTATTTCAAATTTCAGTGTTTTTGGTTTGATTATATTATTGAATTAAATTTATTATTATTATTTTATTATTTTTTATGATTATTTATTAAATTATAATTTATGATTTCGTGTTTCAAGTTTTATCATATCCGGAATGTTTAATAGACTCTTGTTCGTACAGATTTCAGTGAGTTATTCCTAAAAATTACAGCCTACAATAAAAAAACTACATATTTATATGCAAAAAAATGGTACCGCTTTCAGCACAAAAAATCTGAAAGAATCATACCGCCAAGGAGGTTAATGAAGAGTGTACACAGTGTGGGCTTCTGCCTGCTCACCAATCCTGATGATTCTGTGGCTCAAGGGATCAGGGATGTCCTGGAAAGCTCCTGCAGAATCTGTATCCAACGTGGGACGATTGGTCTAGCCCCTTGTGACACTGGGATTCCACTGTAACTGTGACAGTGGCGATGCTCATGTCTTGGACCAGTCTTTTCTGCCAACAGGACGCTGTGGAAGGGTGATCTGCTGACACCAAAGACTCTCCATATTGTCCAGACTGCGAGGCCTTCTTAACTTTCACAGCATCAAGGTTTCTGCTTGCAGCCTCAGCTTATAGTTCCAAGAGGAAGAGCATTCCCTGCCAGCTTCCTCCGCTGCTAGCGCCAGCTCGACACATTCTGATGCTCTGGGATGTCTGATCGGCTAACCCAGATTGCGATCAATGCGTTGTCGACCATGGGAATACACTCCCCTGGTTGGAGGTCATGGACCACATCACAGGGCTCCGTCTACCACAGGTTGAGCACTCCTGCCTTGCAGTGAGTCTGTGCCAGCACTGTATGGATTAATAGCTTGTTTTGTTTTTCGCTTCCCTGACAGACAATGCTCCCCCACTGTCCTTGGCATCCTAACTATGGACCTTGCTTTGGTCTTGATGAAGTCAGCCCTGGATCACTAGAGTGGGGGGTGCAGAGGCTGCAGGTACGGGTTTAGTTGAGGGGAGAAGCAGATAAGTATATACCCTGTTCCAAATTATTATACAAATGATATTTTTCTCATTTACCCAAATAATTGATGTAAATAACAGTCAGCATAATTCTCATGTTATCAACTATTAAGAGTACAATTCACATTTTATTGAACAAACCTCCTAATGATAACAGGATTTTTTTTTAAACATAAAACACTTCCAATGCTCTGTTCCAAAGTATTACACACAGTAAGTTTCAAAACACTTTATAGGTTGTAAAGAACTGAAAATTGTAATTTGTTGTGTTTGCAGCATATTTACTGAAATCAAAAGCTATTTCAATCAAACTTTTAACAAGATTTTAACTTGTTAAACATTTTAACAGATCACGTTACATTGTAACATAGGACCCCTTATTTGATAGCAGCTTCACAAGTCTTGCATCCATTGAACTTGTGACTTTTTGGACAGTTTCTGCTTGAATTTGTTTGCAAGATGTCAGAATAGCCTCCCAGAGCTGCTGTTTGGATGTAAACTGCCTTCCACCCTCATAGATCTTTTGCTTGAGGATGCTCCAAAGGTTCTCAATAGGATTGAGGTCAGAGGAGGATGGAGGCCACACCATGACTTTCTCTCCTTTTATCCCCATAGCAGCCATTGATGCAGAGGTATTCTTTGCAGCATGAGATGGTGCATTGTCATGCATGAAGATGATTTTATTATGGAAAGCATAGTTCTTCCTTCTGTACCAGGGAAGAAAGTGGTCAGTCATAAACTCCACATACTTTGCAGAGGTCATCTTTACACCTTCGGGGACCCTAAAGTGGCCGACCAGCTCTGTTCCCATGATTCCGGCCCAAAACATGACTCCACCACCGCCTTGCTGACCTCACACCCTTGTTGGAACAGGGTGGCCATCCACCAACCATCCACTACTCCATCCATCTGCCCCATCCAGGGTTGCACGGCACTCATCGGTGAACAGGACTGTTTGAAAATTAGTCTTCATGTATTTTTCTGCCCAATGCAGCCGTTTCTGCTTGTGAGCATTGGTTAGTGGTGGCCGAATAGAAGGTTTATGCACCGTTGTAAGACTCTGGAGGACTCTACACCTTGATGTCCGTGGGACTCCAGAGGCACCAGCAGCTTCAAATATCTGTTTGCTGCTATGTAATGGTATTTTAGCAGCTGCTCTCTTGATCCGATGCATGGATCTGGCAGAAATCTTCCTCAATGTGCCATTATCTGCACGCACCCGTCTGTGCTCTGAATCAGCCACAAATCTCTTAATAGTGCGATGATCACGCTTAAGTTTTCGTTAAATATTTAATGTTTTCATACCTCATCCAAGGCATTGAACTATTTCACTCTTTTCGGCAGCAGAGAGATCCTTTTTCTTCCCCATATTGCTTGAAAATGGTGCTCTGCTTAATAATGTGGAACACCCTCCTTTAGTAGTTTTTCCTTAAATTGGGCTCACCTGCCAATCTAATTATCACAGGTGT